CGTTCTGAATCCGCGCTGCCTTAGCTTCACGAGCGCGCCGGCTCGCTTCCCCTGTCTGCGCGTCCTGAAGCGCTTGATCAGCGCCACAGCTCCCCCGACTACAATGTCCAGCAAAACATCAGAATAATCGAAAACCGGTGAAATATCGGGTGGTGTGTACTTCCGAATGTCCAGCAATTCGTCTCTGGTGAAACTGATTGCAGGGATATAACTAAAGACAGGACAAACTAACAAAAACATAAAAACAACTGCGGAGCACGCCACGGAGGCAGCCATCAGCGTCGGCGCCATCTTGGAAAGACCAAGACCAAGACTAAATTTAACTAAATTTAGTTGTATCAAATTTAAGGCCATAAAAAGTCTTAAATTATACAAGAAAGTCTTAGTCTGATGATACACGGGGCAAATTTTTGAGCAATTTTGTTGGGCAACTTTTTTTAGAGCTTCATGATTTTTTTTCATGTTGCTTGGGCTCTTTTCCATTGAGAATGGGTAACATATTCCTATCTGGATATTTTAGATCGGCTGTGGGCTCTGTGTCTCACCTTGTTGCCCATTGACGGCAACATTTCCCAAAGTTGCCCAGCAACATTGCTCAAATAGTTGCCCAGTGTATCATCAGCCTGAATTATGATTTCAGGAGGTATTCAATTTGGGGATGGAGAGACCACGATATGCTTAATGTGACGATTAAACTTCAAAAGGCTATGATTTTATTAAATAAACATGAGCGCTGCAAGTTTCAAATTCCGGTACTGGCTGCTTTGTTTACTTCCATTACCGGGGAAACCGGGGTTCTATTTTTGCCGTTCCAAAAGCGCCTCCTGCTGGCAGAGAATGAATGTGCATTTTCAATAAGCCTGTTTTATTGGAGTAGGTTATTCCTGCAGTACCAGAGGCTGCAGTTTCAGGGCCACATTTCTAGGACTCTATAGTTTTTTTTTTTTTGTATGTATGTGGTACAAATTAATGAGTTTATTAGTATGTTAATACATTTTTAATAATTTGAATACAAATACTTGTTTACAACATCCAGCAGCACAGTGAACTGTTTTGCACAGCTAAATAGGCTAAATGGAGATAGCTGACATCGCCTCACACAC